GACACTTACCACCTGTCATAACTTGTGTGTCTTTCCTGACCTGCCACCTCAGTGCCATAAGCTCTGTGAGGACAGAACCACGTCTGCTGTGTTTACTGCTGTGCCCGCATTTCCTGGCATGTGCAGAAAAACCATTTGATGAATGAATAGGGAACACAGGCAGCCCTCTAGTGACTGAAATAGATGGCGGTTGTGCCGATTACATACAGGGCTAGTCCAGGAGGCTTTTGGAAATAGCCTCAGAAGAGGCGAGGATTAGAAGTGCAGATTTGGAATTTGTATCTGTTTTGAGCTAATTATCTAAGAGGTGGAAATAGATTGAAGTAGGAAGAATGTGTGTGAGGGAAAGTCCAAGGGTAGAAATTTTGAGGAAAATGAACTATGAGGGTAGAAGATTAAGAGGCGGCAGGAAGCCAAGAGACACAGCTAGAACCTGGAGAAATAGCCAGGAGACTGCCTGTCAAGCATGGCGAGGGGGCGGTGAAGAGCCGTGTTAGGACCAGGGAGTATGAAGCGGCAGTGCTCGTTCAGAGGTTGCTGATGACTCAGAGATTTGTGTCTGTCATCCGGTTGTGCATAGCAGATTGTAGTAGATTGAAGTGTGATTGGAGGGCAGGGAAGTAGAGGAAGTCAGTGTGAGCTACTCTTACGAAAAATTCTGTAGCAAAATCAGAGGGCAAAGGGGGCAGTTACCTTGCTTGGTAGGGTAGGATGTTAGAGGAGTGAGAAAAAGAGCCAGTGCAGGGTACTGAATTGTAGACATGTAGGTATACAGGCCTGGAGGTGGATACTGCTGTGATAGTTAAGCACTAGAGAGATTCGAAAGCCTGGGGTTTTTGTGCAGCCGTCCTTTCCTGACTGGTGACTGGGAGAGACCCAGTGCAGCGCTCCCCGGACCGTCTGCAGTGAAGAGCTAGTTTTTAAAAATCTTTCATCTTTACTCTCATGGACTGATACTTCTGCTAAATGTAGTAAAAAATGAATTTACTAGAAAAATAAATACTCTTGGATATCGTGCAGTGTCAAATTGTTATAAAACTTTGAGTGCTTGCTTTCAGTTTCTGCATCTCATTGTAGGATGGTAAGGAACGTGGATGTTCTCGGTCTGCAAGTCCCGCTTTGAGTAGCACTGGTGTAGAAGGTGAGGGAGCAGGAGATGCAGGTGTTTTTCACACGTGGCCCTCTGACTTTTCAGATAGGCTGGTAAATCCCAGGTTAAGATCATGCAGTAGGCATTGCGTGCCAATAATAGAAAAAAATAGAAACTCTTACTTTTATTCGCTCCAGCTATTGTCACGGAGTTAGTAATCTTGAATACAGTGTTTGCCCTTTTCCCTTCTGCTAATACTTAAGATTATTTGAAATAAAGGAGAAGTCTTTAAACACGTAACTGCTTAAAATATGAGAGCTATTACAAATCAATTCTAAAGCCAGGAAGTAGTTAAGAACGTAATCTGAGTTTTTTGAAGAACTTAGAGCAATATGAGAAAATGTGAATGAATGCTAGTTTATGACATGAATTTTAAGTGGAAAGTCTGAAGTTGCATTTTGCTCTGATGATACCTGGGTAAAAGTATTGCATGTGTATTTGATTGATCAGGACATTTTCGGCTGTAAGTGACAAGCATGCAACTCAAGCTGCTTCAACAGAAAACGGGGGACCCGAGAGACTGATGGGGTGAAACTGGCTTTCAGTGACTCCCATGTCAGGATACCATCAGCATGTGCTCTCAAAATGAGACTTGGCTAGACTGTGGAGGTGGGATGGGGGACCCTCTGGGGGAAGAAAGCTTCTATGAAAGCCTGAGGGCTGGGTGGCTCTGTTGGCTAGAGCATCATCCAGATACATCAAGGTTGCAGGTTCCATCTCTGTAGGGCACATACAGGAATCAACCAATGAATGTGGAAATGAGTGGAACAAAAAAGTCGATGTCTCTCTCTCTCTCTCCCTTTAAAAAAAAGAAAAGAAAAAGAAAAGCCTGAGGCCACAGAAGGTAAAATAGCTGGTCCCTGCTCTCACAGCTTTTCAGGGGCACAGCAGTGTTGGAACGCAGGTTCCCTGGCTTGACTGTTACACACCTTCTGCGTCTCTGCCCTGCAGAGTGTATTAAAACCTTCCAACCCGACAGGGTGTCTAAATCAAGGGTGTCATTATTTAAATTTGACATTTTAGTACAGATCTCTTGCTTATAGATTTCATGCTCATTAGCATTCAGGTGCTATTTATAGTTTGTTAGAGCATCTCATTCATTTTCAAAAGGAACTTTTATTTTCATTCATTCTCGATGTTGGGCAATAGGAAGAACAAAAACGAATCATTCTGTCAAAATTAGTGGTACCAAGTGACTAAATAGTGGAATGTCTGTGTCATCCTTGATTCTGTGTTGTGATTAGGGATTAAACACTTACCGGTTAGTCTTATTTGGACAATAGTATCCTTTCCTTTAAGATATAAATATTTAACTTTGGGAAAAAAGGTAATGACCGTACAGCCCTGGTACACTTTTAATATTGAACCCCTTTATACTTGCCTGAAAAGTGTGGGCTTTTTGTTAGGTCACAGGAATAATTTGACATGGGGAATTTTAGTGTGTGGACATTTTAGCCATGGACTTGACCTGGACTGAGTTTCATGTGGGAATGTTTTACTTCCTGGAAGAAGTACACAGACTTGGAGTGTGCCTAGAACATATTTAATACACAAAGTTCGACTTAAAAACAACACAAAATCTTTAATTGTTTTAAATTTTGGGTCCAAAGAAACCCAGGCTTTATTCTCATTTGCTACAACAGTTTTCCTTCAAATAATGCATTGGCGAGGTGACAGGCGAGTGACCCAGTGTCTGGCTAGGGACTATGTCTCTGAACTTCCTGTAATCTTACAATGTGGATATCAAGTGGATTACAACTGGTTTGGCATTGATAAAAATGTATACAACAATTACAGCTGCTCTTTATGTGGCAATTTTTACTGGGCGTCTTATGATCTGTTTACCATCTCAAGTGGAAGTCCAAACAGATTTCATTTTTGTAGTAAAAAGTCTTTATTTCCAAAATGGTTGGTTAACCAGAAAAACTATAAATCACCTAACACAAGACTTTGGTAAAAAAGAGATTTGACGTTTCTTATATAAACTATCGTAAGCAAAAGAAATAACACTCACGTTAACAGGAAAGATGTGCCCCATTCTCAGCCTTTAGCCAGTTACCTGGTGTTAACTCTCCCAAATAAGGGTTAAAAATGCACCCAATAGGGACCACATAAAAACAGGAGGCACTAGGGTGGCTTGTCCTTAATGTTACTTAGGAATCACCATCTTAAGGAACTTGATTTTCATAGGTTAATAGTAAGTATGCCTCTTGATAGCTAAGAGCAATGTTGCCGAAGTGTTGATTCTGTGTTGACTCTTTTTTGTCCAAGTAGAAAATTAAACCTCTTATTTCTTTATATTATGTTCCTTTGTGGGAGACAGAAAGTTCATTTAAGGGCTACAACAATAACGTTGGAAACAAAGCTCCAGAAACTTGGAGATGTAACAATGGCCCCTCCAGAATGAGGGAGCAAAAACTATATCTTTAGCAGAATGATTGAGGTGGATAACAACGGTAAACAGACCCAGCCTTCCACACACTCAATTAGTGTAAAAACACAAAAGACAGACCCAAATGAGGTTTTTATTGAACAGTCTCTCTTGTGTTAAAGAAAATAATACAGATTCAAGACTATAGCACATATATGTTGTGTTTGGAAATATCCTGATGTGTTTAATGCAAATTCTTAAAATAGTGTATTCAAAGCATTGTATGCATCTCATCCATGATACATATTTGGATTAAGCATAATGAAAAAAGACCTGCAACAGAAATGAAACTAATTTTAACAACAAGTGAATGGGTAAAAACTGCCGATGGGCTCCACCCAGTAAAATGTCCTTTTACACTAATCCTTGGTAGTCAGTCTCCTTGCATTTGGTGTACTTGTGAGTGCTGGGGAGGGGCGGGGAAACCGGGCCTTCCCCAGGGCTGGGTCGAGGACCAGAGCCCTCCAGTGGGGAGCTGGCCTAGGTTTGACTTCCCACTGGATTTTTTTGCCCAGCTTGATTCTGTCATACTCTTTTTTTTTTTTTCTCTCTCTCTCTAGATTTCTACCTTTTCTTCTAAAGGGCTTTGCAACACTTTTCTATAGAAGAAAGCAAGGCTCTTTCTACACATAAAATTTTATAACTAAAAAAAAACCCTTTAAAGAGATAGTATTTTTGTTAAAGGAACATCTTGATGGGCTGTGGGGAGACTTAGCAACTTAAAAGTCTGGATGCATGTGGGAAGATTTTTAAAACTCAGGTTTGGAACCGCTGGCAAGGCCACATTTGCTGCCTTGGCCTTGGTTCTCTTAAGGATCTGGTACTGGAAACTTCATTAGGCTGGCTTCCTTGGAAGATTGTGGCAAAACATAAAATAAAACCCCCAAAACAAGGGAAAAATTCTTTGTGGACTTAGTCATCCTTTGCATCGGGTATAAGAACTGGCAACCTTACATTCAAATGAAACAGCCGTCATTTCCATTGGGGTATATGGGAACCAGGATTAGGAGGTGAGATAAATACTCAGACTTTCTCAGTGAAAGAAGAAAGCCATCCCACATAAGTGCTCCTTTTCACACCTATCAGCTCTGCTTTTACCAGCTCTGTTTTCCCCCAAGAACTACTGATGACTGAGGAGGCTCAACAGGGGACCTAAAGCTCTGCTAAGGGAAACAAAGATGAGGAAACATGGCTTCCTGCTAGAGAGAGCTGGCCAAAGAGGAGAAGGAAGGAATCTGCTCTCTCTATCCGAGGGGACATGTTCCCTGCTGCACCCCCAGACTGAGGCATGGAGTCACTTCCAGACACAGTTGCCTCTTACGGAGGCCAGGGTCTCTGTCCTGCGCCCAGGTGGATGCTCCAGAGGGACACATTTCTGTTTGGTCCAGGGTGGCTGACACTACCCATGTCTCTGCTGGAGCAGGGCTGGCTGGAGATGAGGGAGCCCTACTCAGCCTGTGCCTACCAAGAAGTATACAGAAAGGGTGTCCCTGGCGTCCGCAAGACTACTGGGCAAATGACGCGGCAGAAACGAAAACTAGTGTACACGATTTACATTGCCTTAAACAAACGAGCAAACAAACGATCCAGCCACTGGTGCCTCTGGAATCTGGAGTGCAGCCCTGGAACGCTTGGACCCTTGCTAACAAGGGTGAACATTGCAGGCTCTGATCTCCTTCTTGTCTTTGCAGCTGGTAAACTGGGAGCTTTTGAACCTCTTCTTTACAGTCATGTAGCGTTCCTGAATCCCGCCTCCACACAGTTTGGTGCATTCCGACCAGGCTGTCCACGGGCGCATCCTACAGCCTGAGAGCGAGAGAAGGTTAGGTTAACAGAAATTGGGGACAGAACACAGGGGCCGAACTCAAGTACTTAACAACTGTCCAATCTGGGCTTCTCCACTGCTCTTGTGTGTAATGAATTGTTGAATTAAATAATGCTGAGTCCTTATTAGGGACCTGTTAGTTCACCGGTGATGACGGCAAATACTTTGCAGCTCCTCCCACCAAGGGGCAGTCTGGTTGTCTACCTCTTGAATCTGGGCTTGATTATATGACTTGCTTTGGCCAATGGGACACGAGCAAACATGGCTTGAAAAAGGCGCTGGGGACCCTTCCGCCACCATGTAAAAAAGCCTGACTAGACTGTTGGGAAGATCATGGAGGGGGGTGGGGGAGAGACCCCAGCCACCCTAGCTGAGACCCCAGAGATGCAGGTGAGGCCAGAATAAACCTTCCAGCCGCCGCTGAGCCAGCTGCTGACGGTTACCACATGAATGAGCCTAAGCTGGACCACAGAAGACATGTCCAACTGAGCCACAGGGTCATGTTAATAAATGACTGTTTTAAATAGCTACTGTTTTGGGGTGGGTTGTTAATGCAGCAACCACTGAAGTTGTGCAATTAATCACTTCTTTCTCTTAATGCTTTGCTCCCCAAACACTTAGCCACGCAAATACTAAGTAAACTCAAGTCTAATTTATTTTTCCTACATAAACGTGTCCTTCCCAAAGAAAACTTCCCTGACCCCCAGATATTAGGTTAGATCTTTAAAAAGAAGTTTCCTTGGTGCTCCATATATAACTGCTTTGTAGAACCAACTAATGATCATTCTATACTAAGCTAAGTTTCATGAAGGAGAAGATCGTGGCATAGTGATTGTCTAGAACATGGTTGGGCTTAAATGAATGTTGACTGGCAGACTGACTACTATGTATAACAGACAACATTCTGGTATGCAAACAGCTTCCTATTGGAAAGATCATGAACTCTCTCAGGCAGCTCCTCATACGTGCATTTCTCATCGCCCTAGATGGAATGCCTTAAGGAGGAGAGAAGAAAAAGGGGTAATTTGAGCTGTGTTTTTAAAAACAGTCAAAGTCAATATATTCTTAACCCTCATGTTTACATGGGCACCTTCCTCGCCCACTCTATGGAATCTAGAGACCATGCATCCCCTGACCTGTACCCAAGAGTGAACTATGGGTCTTCCCAACTCATTGTTCATGGATCTGGGGATTGGCAGTCTTGGCTTGGAGTAACTTATTCAGCAGCGAAGCCTCAGGCATGGAACTTGGTTAAATCCTGAAACTCCCTCACATTATGCTGGAGGAGAGTGGCACATGATCTCTTTTCTAGGCTACAAACTAAATTGAATAACTTGCCTCTATGCCTCTGTTTTGCCACCTCAACCTGTCTGTGAAAGTCACTCTTGCTTAAAACGTTTTATAGAACCAAGTTTTAAATCCTCAGCAGGCCACTAGACCCCTCCTGGTCTGGTCCCCACCACTCCGTCCTGGCTTCCTGCCTGTCCCCTTGCACTCTGCTCCATCTGCACCCACTCGTTGGTATCTCTGTGGCTTTGCAATTCCTCATCCTGCCGCTTGGGACGCCCTTCTCTAACTGGCAAACTCTTGCCGGTTTTTCAAGACCCACTCTAATTCCCCTCTTTGACATCTCCCTGAACATCAGCCTCCCACTCGGGATCAGTACCTGGGAAATGCTCCCCATCGGACTCTTCGCGCAGCTGCTCATTCCTCCGGCTCTCCCGGGCCTCTCTCCAGCGCAGCTTCTGGATGGATGGATTTCGGCATTTCCGGACGCGGCACTTTCTTCGCTGCACAGTCTCTGGGCAGGGTGCGCCTCCAAACTGAGGCTCCATTTGGATCATCCGGGTTCGAATCACATGGCCTTTCCCGCATGACTTGTTACATTCTGACCACTGGGACCACTCAGTGAGCTCACAATCAATGGCTGGCAAGACACAGATGGGCATGAGTGTATCTCATGTCTGAAACGAGATATGGTCACTTACACTCTCCTTTGAACCTCTGAACACAAGCCTGTGAGAAATGCAAAGCAGGTGCTGTTATGTCATTTCACAGAAGAAACCAAGGCTCCAAGAGGCCGACTGCCTTCACCCAGCCCACTTGGTTCATAGGCAGCAGAGGCAGGATTGGTACCCAGGTTATAACCCACATTCTGTGGCCTCTCTGTGGCTCAAGAAGGCTTGTGGGGGTAGGGGACACTTTGCAGATGTGTTCAGAGCCTCTTGCTTTGCTTTGTGAGTTTCTGGACTGGATCTGAATCTGGGCAAGCAGCCTGAGTAATAAGGGAGAGGAAGCATGAACGACTGCTAGTGCATTTCAGAGGAAGCCAAAAAGCAGATCATAGCTGAGTGTGTCTCATGTTTCAACACCTAAAAGAGAAGCTCTCTTGGGAGACTAGCCAGAAACACAGGCTCTCTCCCCTTGGAGATTAGTCCTCATGTAGTACATACAGCTGATCCCAGAGATTTTGGAGGAGATGGGGGTGAGCAGCGAGCTTTTGAGCCCTTGGCTTGTTCTCCTGCTGGCTGGTCTTATCATGGCTGCGAGAGCACTGGAGTCACTAATTCAATGTCCACCCTCTGGTCATGGATAAATAAAATGGTGAGAGGGAGGAATAAAATGAAAAAGCTTGGAAAATCCATTGATCCAGACAGCCCCTAACTGGGGATGGGGGGTGTGGGGGAGGGAAAGAACTAAGGTTTACAGAGCCTTGTGCGAAGAGTTTTTCATCTAAGTCTCCCATTTAGGCTCCATAGCAACTTGCAGTTTGTGTGCTTTGTAGATGGCAGTGGGATCCTCATTGCTAACAAGAAGATTGAGAGTTTAAATAACTTTGCTAACACAGAGGTCCAAATCCATGCTCCTTCTCCCTTCCCAGTGAACGGCTGGACTTCATGGCCCAGCAGTGTGATCCCGCACAGGGCTGGCTTATGGAGGACGGAGCAGTGGGCTTGCGAGAGCTCCAGGACTTACGGCATTCGGGCAGCATGCACTTCTCCACCTGCTCCAGCTCCTCATTACAGTCCCCGAGCTCGGCCAGAGACTTGAGCATCCGCTGGCGGGTCCGCATGCCCTTCCCGCAGGTCACGCTGCAGTCGCTCCACTCGGACCATGGGGACAACAAGCATGGGATGGTGTCTAGGCCAAAGCCAGGTTTGCCATTGAGATTAGGCCCCCCTTTGCTTTGTTTGATCTCTGTTCCCCGACTCCCTTCCCTCTACTCTGGCCCCTGGAATACAGTGAAACTGACCGATGGGCTCAGAAAACTCAAGTGAAACCCATAGGGCAAGAAATGGCTCAGCAGACTCTGCCCTTCTTTTCACTCTCCTGCAACTCCCCTGGCCCTGCTGGAGGCTTAGTTGACATCCGATGATACTGAATACACAGGTAATACGAATACACAAGTCTCCATTTGAAACACCACTGAGGGTCTGAGCAGGGTCTTACTGGAGACAGAAACAGCTCACACACACCAGGAACCATATACTGAAACATAGACTCTGTGCTGCATTTTTGGGCACTGGTGCCGAAACCCCTGGAATGTGCATGTACTGTGTGCATGTGTACATATGTGTGCTGATGAGCGGGCCTATGTGCATCTGTGCATAGAGCAGGGGCTGTCATGCTTTATGGGGCCAGGCAAATCCAATGTAAAAGAGTGGGGAGGCCTAGGATGACCTGGGGAATGTACATCCCGTCTAAATGAATTATTACCCTCACAAAGAGACTCTGGGGTTCTAATAGACGCAGCTGCAGGTGAATTCTATCCAGAAGTCACTGATTTGCCACTCCAGCATTGCTCAGAATGTCCCTCAAAGGAAGCCACTCTCTCTGGGTCTTGTTGATGTCTACACAATTATGGCCCTCATCTTGATCCTAGCAGTGCCCGGCAAGGACGGAGGACCACATTTTCCCCTGTACCTGCCCAACCTCCGACTTGATGGAGGTGGTAGTAGGGGGTGTTGTGGTCCTCCATAGTGTCCCTGTCCCCACCCCTCCCCCACCTCCCACACCCACTCACGGCACTCAGGCATCATGCACTTCTCTGCCTGGGATGTTTCAGCCTTGCACATGGAGCCGTCCGCTGGGCTCATCTTGACCATGCGGTGCCGCTTCTTCATGCCCATCCCGCAGGTGGCGCTGCATTCATCCCACTCGCCCCACTCGGTCATCAGGCAGCTGCTGGAAGCTGGGGAGTCCCGCGGCCTTGGAGTCGCGCCCGCTGCCTCGGGATCCAGGCGCCCTACCCGCCCCCCGGCGTCCCCACTCACAGCACTCCTCGTTGACCGTGCACTTCTCCGTCTCTTCGGTGGGCAGCGTGCACACGGAGCCGTCCTCAGGGAACTGCTTCACGTACCTCTCCCGGGACCGCATGCCCATGCCGCAGGAGATGCTGCAGGGCGACCAGGTGATCCACTCGGACATGGTGCAGGTGGAACCATCTGCAACAGACAGAGCGGCCTCTGCAGTCCCAGCGCCTTGCGCCAGGGGGCGCGCCACAAGTGGCCCGCGCGACCCAACCCTTAAGAGCAGGACTCAAGAAGGAACCAGCTGGTTTTCAAGGGGAGTTATGTAGTTGAGGGTATATGGGAACCTAAAAGGTAAAGGTCTTTAAACCAGGAGTTTCTCTAGGAGGAAATGAAATGCCTTTTTCTAGACACATGGGACAGTAAGTAAGGATTACTCTTTATTCCCCGATAATACATATGAAAGACACTTGGATGGATAGAAGGATGTTTTATACATAATACATGTGTGATAAGATATTAATTTAATCTACATAGAACTTAAGATAAGTCATAGCCCACTTTTATGATCTAAGATGTATTATACATTGAAGACCATTTAATAAAATTTAAAACTTCCTTCCTCAGTCACTAACCACATTTTAAGTGCTGACTAGGCAGGCATGCCTAGTGGTTACCATATTGGACAGTGCAGATATAGAACATTTCCTTTGTGAAGAAAATTCCATTGGACAGCACTGGAAAGCAATTATATATATGATATATGATATGATATATGATATATATGATGATATGTGATATATCATATATATGATGATATATGATATGATAGATGATATATGATATATATGATAGATATAATATATGAAAATGCTGAACATCACTAATCATTAGGGAAATGCCACCAGAATCACAATGAGATACCTCATACCCATTAGGACAACCACTGTCAACTAAAAACAGAAAATGCAAGTGTCGGTGAGGACGCGGAGAAATTGCAACCCTGTGCACTGTTGGTGGGAATGGAAAATGGCACAGCTTTGTGGAAAACAGTATGGGAGGAAGTTCCTCAAAAAAAAATGAGAAATACCATATGATCCATCAATTCCACTTATGGATATATACCCAAATGTACTGAAATTAGAGTTTCAAAGATATTTGTACACCAATATTCATTATATCATTATTCATAATAGTTAAAATGTGGAAGCAACCTATGTCCATTGACAGATGAAGGAATTAAAAAAAGGTAATACAGCCCTGGCTGGTGTGGCTCCGTGGATTGAGCGCCAGCATGTGAGCCAGAGGGTCACAGGGTTTGATTCCCAGTCAGGGCACACGCCTGGGTTGCAGGCCAGGTCCCCAGCTGGGGGAGCATATGAGAGGCAACCACACACTGATATTTCTCTCCCTCTTTTTCTCCTTCCCTTCCCCCTCTCTAAAAATAAATAAAAATCTTTAAAAAAAGGTAATATATACATGGAATATCATCCAGCCTTAAAAAGGAGGCAAATTCTGACACATGCTACAACATGGATGAACCTGGAGTACATTAGGCTAAGTGAAATAAGTTAGTCACAAAAAGACAAATACTGTACGGTTATACTTCTATGAGGTCCTGAGAGTAGTTAAACTTAGAGAGAAGAAGTAGAATGGAAGTTGCTAGGGGCTGAAGGAAGGGGAATGGGAATTATTATTTAATGGGTACAGAGTTTCAGTTTTGCAAGACTAAAAAAAAAAAGCCGTGGAGAGGGACAGCGGTGACGGTTGTACAAGCATTAAATGTACCTAATACCACTGAACTGTGCACTTAAAAATGGTTAAGATGGTAAATTTGATGTTAGATACCACAATAAAAAAGTAGGGGGGGTGGGGGAGCAGGCACAGCTTTTTGTTGACTAGCGTGGCTCAGTTTTTTGGGCGCCGTTGCGCAAAGTGAAAGGTCGCCGGTTTGATTCCTGGTCAGGGTACACGCGTAGGTTGCAGGTTCAGTTTCCTGTCAGGGTGCCTATGATCAGATGTTTCTCTCTCACAGATGTCTCTCTCCCTTTCTTTCTCCTTCCCCTCCCCTCTCTCAAAAAATAAATAAATAAAATCTTTAAAAAAAAATCCAGCACAGCCCAATGTGTTTTAGAACTGTTATCACCACGTGGGAGCCACCTGAACCGATAGAAGGAAGTACTGTCCTCTGTGGTGGGGGGGGGGCAGGGTAAAGACCCTAACTCCCACCGCAGGCCTCAGTCAGACAAAGACTGAGCCCCGACGAAGAGAGAGCGTCCCCCACATTGCCAGGCCCGTCACAGCCCCCTCCCTGCTGGTTTGTGGGAATGGCCTGCCTATGCTGGGGCTCGCTTCCCTCTGAGGTGTCTTATCATGGGCACAGTGAGCAACAAGCCAGTGCGGAAGTGCAGCAGCAGAGGTGTTGAAGGCTGCCCCGCAGGAAGAACCAGAGAGCAGATGGCCTGCAGTGGGGTAAGCTTACTTCAACTAGCCTCAGCTTGGAAGTGTTTTTCTTCCTGCCATAAACCAGCTCAGTCTATACCTCCCTTCCAGCCGCCTCACCACACCTCTGAGACAGGTAAGATCACTGCGTACGGAGTATATATGGATCTGTCCAGAGGGAGTGGGAGTCGTACTCTGGAAAGGAGGCAGCTGACCTTTGCACAGCGGCAATCAGCTTGGTGCCATCTGGGAGCTTGAGCCATCATGACGTAGGTGGAGCAAGCTCATAGTTCAAGCCTGACCTTTGAGCAGTGGCCGAGGGAGAGGGACCGTCTGAGGATTCCTGCAATCAGTCCCCAGGCCCTGACACAAGGAAGTGAGTGCTCTGACTCAGGCTGAGGCAGGACTTCAAGAGGGTCTGTCAGCGACAGAGAATCAGGGCACTGGATCTAGATTCAGTCTTGCCCAGCCTGTTCATCGGCTTCCTCTTCTTCTTTTTAAAAGATTTTATTTATTTTTAGAGAGAGGGGAAGAGAGGGAGGAAGGGGAAGGGAGGAAGAAAAAGAGGGAGAAAAACATCAAATATAAGAAAGAAACATTGACTGGTTGCCTCTTGTATGCGCCCTGACGGGGACTGAACCTGCAACCCAGGCAGGTGCGCTGACGGGAAATCGAACCAGTGACCTTTTGCTTTGTGGAATGCCGCCCAACCAACAGAACTACACCGGTCAGGGCTCCTCTGCTTCTAAAAAGAGGTTGGTGTTAAGGCCCAGAAGCAGGCTATTTGTTATTTGTAATTTGTCATGAGATGTTTGCTAGCTCTTCAATAGCCTGTGTATATTTTCTTCCACGGCTGGGGAAGGAGGAGGGAGGCCAATCAATCTCAAGGATTCTTTTGATGTCATAAGACATGTTCTGTGTTCAGAGTCCTGGAGACACTGTTGGAGACGAGGGACTGGCCTAGGTGGACCCCACTGACAAATACAGTCAGGATCCTGGTGCCCCGCTGGGGACTCAGCCTGACCAGGTGTGCGGGGCTGGCATCGCCAGGTACAAGTGTCCCCTCCTGAGCTTCTGCCAGCCACTCACCAGCCTGGGTTGTCTCCTCACCTTCATCGCTGCAGCCAGGGCCCATGCAGGGCTGGAAGTCCTGGGTGTCAGGGCAGGGGACACTGAGGTCCAGCTGCGCCTTCAGCATGCGCTGCCGCATCCTCTTGCCTTTGTCGCAGGTGGAGGAGCTGCAGGCGGACCACGGGGACCAGTTGGAGTAGATGCAGGTTTCAGGGGTGTCATCTGGGAAGAGTATGTGACAGGTTTTCCCTGGGAGTCTGTGGGCACTGGGACTGACCCTCTTCCCAGACAAGCTCATTTGGGGACAAGAAAATCCCTGCTGCCTGACCAGCTTCTGTGAACCTGATACTCATGGGATGGAAGCAAGTCAGTCACTTCTCCTTAAAAATTACATCTTAGCTTCTACTAATCAATATCTAAATAATCTAATAATAGGGAAAGATTCTCTTCCTATTCCTTCCCTTCAACACATGAACATCTTTTCATTTCCAGTCCTTTACCGTGGCACTGTTTCCACACAGGTGTGGGCACAACATAGACAGTTCGGGGAAGCATGGGGTTTTGTGTTGCTGCTTCATCTTCCCATTGATCGTGATACATACCCAGGGGTCATGAGAAGAGTAAGAGCAGCCAATGTTCACTGAGCACTTACTACTATGTGCCAACATCGTTCTACGAACCATACATGCTTTATCCCATTTGAGACTTGCAACAACTCTCTCTGAGGCAGGTTCTGTTATTATCCTCATTTTACAGGTGAGGATACCATGGTAGAAAGGCGAGCTTCTCACCCATGGCCACAGAATGAGAGCCCTGGTTGTGTGACTCCAGAGCCTATGAGAAAACATGAGCTGAAGCCATGGCTCTGGCACCCCCTCCTGCCCCTCCTGACTGTAAGGCCTGGGCATCACTTTTCTTGCTGGGGGAGTGGACTCAGCCCTGTCTACCTCCCCGGCCAGCAGGAGAATCAAAGCAGGGATGGGCTGAGCACGGTGAAGCCTATACAACTGCCACTTATGTGATCATTTTCAAAGCCAGATGCTGTGGAGTGCGTGCTCATTCCAGTGGCATATACTTCACTGATTCTCTGATACTTTGTGCCTAGTCTTGGCCTTGCTTTGGATTATATATCTCAAGCAGAAATCCTCAAAAATGTGATTGCCAAAACAAAGATGTACCTGTGGCTTTTAAAACATATTAGCAAATTGCTTTCCAGAAAGATGGTACCAACCCAATTTTTGTGGCCACTGGCAATAAAGGGAAACAACATACCTTCATCTTTCTCTTCTGGAGCCAGGTCTGCTACAATGTCATCCACGTTGTCAGGTATAATATTGCATTGCTCCCCCTGCAAAAGGAATTTTACTCAGAGGGTTGGCATTAAAGAATGGAATGTGTGGAGGGGAGAGGAGGGAGGACGGAACATCTAATGTCCACCCTGTATTCAAGGCAGAGTTCTGGGACTCTTACAACCTGACTGGAAAAGAAATAGCAATAAAGCCACTTCCAAACCTGACCTGTGGCAGACATTTGTAATCAATTGTGGAACGCATGAAGAAATCTATTTGCCTGGATCGAATCATTCAGTTGAGCATCAAACCATATTATGTTCTTTTTGCTCATTTATATGGTATGAATAATTTGTATACTAGAAACCTTGGGAGGCCCAGGAATTCTCCAGCCTGGAATATGCCAGGGACCCCATGATTCAAAAGCAGAAAGGGATACAGTTTCTTTGTATTCCTGGTGGGAGAGGTCTATGCCAGGGCGAGCTCTAACCCAGTACCTTCCGGGCAATTCTCTCGATGACAACTCTGGCTACTTGAGTGATGGACCCGCCCTCTGGATCATAAAAAGGACTCTGAGGATGGTCCAGGCTGGTCAGGGGCCGGATTTTCTCCTGGGGAATTGTGGGCTTGTTGGGTGACTGCAATGGGAGAAAAAAAACAGAGAGTGGGAAATAGAATTGGTTGAAAACCACAAAAGCAATTTTTTGTTGTTGTTTGCAAAAGCAATTTGATTGTAGTATGATCGGAACAAAAACCTTGATAGGAATTTAACAAGTATAACTACTATTTATATTACGGAATTCTATTCATGCCATGTGTCGTGCATGGAAATCTGTAGGTCTATACTTTCAGATACTCCTGTGTACATGATAGGTTTATGTGCAAAGAAGCCAAGTTGCAGAGAGGCCGCCCCAGCTAGGAGCCAGGTTGGCCTGAATCCAGAGCTCTTCCTACTAGCCCAGATGCTGGCAAACTTTTGTCTGCAGAGGGTCAGATGGTAAATATTTTAGGCTCTGTGGGCCAAACTGTGTCTGTTGTAAGGACTCAGCTCAGCTGTTATAGTGAGAAAGCAGCCCAGACAACATGTAATCGAATATGTGAGGCTGGGTCCAACAATTTTATTTACAAATGAGGTGGTAGGCCAGATTTGTCCCACAAACCATAGTTACTATCATCTGTTCTAGATTGTTCTACCACTGGTTTTCTGATGGCTCCAGATTTTGATGTGGTTGGCGCATTGACCATACCTGAGAAATATTGGCATTCAGGAGGGATTCCCAACTCCTTTGGAACCTTTGGAATGCGGCCCAGCCCCCTTCCCTCTGCTCCTCCCCTTTCCTCCATGCATTTGCCTTTTGTCTGCTGCTCCCTTGCTTACCTGTGAACTGCTAGTCAGCAGATGCCCTCTCGGCGCCCTCCTGGCTAGCTGGATGCCAGCGTGAGGTAATGAGCGCATGCTAGCCTCCCCTACTGCTCTGTGAGTTCACCTAGGACGCAGCCTGGGCCACGGTTACCTCTGTGCTCAGGACCTCTGCAACAGGGCTGGGCAAGGTTTGTCACTTACCACTCCAGGCACACACCCACCTCGTAGGTCACCCCGCTGTCGGTGCCGGCGTCCCAAGGAATCAAGTCTTGCACCACCTTCTGCACCCACCCGCACTCCTTGGTGCACAGGTCCTCCGCAGACAGGCCCACATTCCAGTCGGGGCTCGGGCCCATCATGGTCAGGAAGGACATTAAGTGGCGTGTCCTGTCCACGGAAAATTCAGCCGAGGGTGCTGCTCTCCTGGAAACCAACACAGGGACCATTACATTAGGGACTCCGGGGGGGCCCACTCTGAGGGGCATCTGGCCAAATCACGGCTAAAGGAGGAGAGGCCCAGCAGGAAGGTGGATTCTCGGTGTCCCACAGCCCTTGGCCATGGGTGGTGTACACCCTTCTCTCCCCTGGGTCCATGCTCCGGGCACACGTAGAGAGAACTGGATGCTACCATTCGGTCCCTTTTTAAAGTGTAAACAGCACTTACTATTGTTTTGTATTTTCTTATTTATTTGTTTAGCTGCTTATTGACTGTCACCCCTCACAGGACTATGAGCTCTGGGAAAGCAGGGCTCTTTTCTTCCTTATCGTGGCTTTATTTCCAGTTCCTCTAACAGTGCCTGGCATGGAATGTTTCTGAATAAATGAATAAACAAATACTTGGTTCTATATGTAAGCCCAGCTGTGCTAGATGTGAGATGAACTTGACAAAGAGAAACTGGCTAACAATGCCCCAAGCCTTTGTACTTTCTCATTGAATCCTCAGGACGGGATAACTGACGCCAATTTATGGCTGTGGAGGCTGAGGCTCGGAAGGACTATGTGACTTGTCCAAAGTCACAAAGCGAAGTGGTAGAGTGGAGGCCACATCCCAAAAGTCCATGTTCGTTCAGGGCCAGTATTCTTTTCATCATCAGTTTCTACACCCTCTGCCCTGCCCCTTCGTCGCTGTACTGAGGTCTACATTGTGCCATCAGGGGGAGCGCCTTCGCCATCCTGCTGTCTCTGGAACAGGCTGCTGTACAGCAAGGCCCTGCCCCAGCGCCTGGCTCCCAGCCATTGCCCCAGGCAGCGAGCGGGGCCCCGGCCAAAGAGCTGGAGCCCTTTGGCTGACAACCACTGAGCTACAAGAGGCAGATCTTCAACCTGTCTCCTCGTGCTGCTAGGAGAGGCCTTAGGAGTGGCCAGGGCTGTATGAGATCAATGGTGGCAGCCCAGCGAGGGGCTTGGTTGGAAGATTAGGGTCAGTCAGCACCCACTTGGTAGCAGGCCTGCCTCATTTAATTTCCTTTTCCCTGCAGGGTTAGAAGTATTATATTGTTTTGTAGAGAAGAAAGGAAAGTGTATAGAGGTTCATCAACTTAGAGATAACTCGGGTGGAGGTTTGAAGGCCAAGCTGCCTGACACTGCACCCCCAGGCTGCTAATTGTGGGGAATCCTTGGCCGGAGACCAACTTGTCTCTTCAGTCCAGCTGGCAGCTGGTCCACCTCAGCTGTTGAGGAGTCCCTGTGTCCCTCTGCTGGGACCAGCTGCTTTTGGCTGCCTTCACCTGTCCCCAGAAAGCATTGACTCCAGACCTGGCTGGGCCCCATGGAACTGGATCGCTCTGGCTCTCGCAGGCCAGATGGGATCAGACAGTGAGCAGAGAGATAGGGAAGCCTGAGTATCCTTGGACAAATTACCAAACCTTTCTGTGCCTCAGTGTCTGAATCTATAAAATGGGGATCCCCATATGGGTTACTATGAGTGTTCGGAGAAACAACGTGCATACAGTACTTAGTCCAGAGTCTGACACCTGAGCTAGCATTTCTATGCCCGTTATCCTTTCCCCATGCATGCATTTCCTGGCATGAGGCCAGGGGCTTTAGCAGCTTCTTCAGGGACCTGGTTTCTAGAATGCTTGCAGTCAGGGGTGCTGCAGCATGGCTCCCCTAGGGACTAATAGGACACAGTCCGGGGCCTGCCTCTTTAAGTGCCAGATAGAGAACACTGGCATCTGGACGGGGCTGCTTTGCACTCCAGCCCTCCTTGGCTACTGGCCCCTGAGAGTCCAGCAGTGCCTTGGAGAGCAGGCTTCCTCTCCCATCGCCATAGAGACCAGCCTTCTCACCTATTCCTCCCTAATCTCCTTGAGCATGTGGCTTTGGGTCAGGTTAGCTGTCCATATCCTGTGCCCCCCTGATGAGACTATTCACCATGACAACCCGAGGGCAGAAGACAGCTCTACTGAGGAATCCGGAGCTGGGGAAACCAAACCACCCCGCCCAACATCCCCTGGATTTGCTGCTCAGCTGATGGCTCTGACTGTCTGAGAACTGTGTGTTTGATAAGGACTTACACAGATCATTCTCTGCAAATGCATTGTGGCCAAATCTGTAATCTGAGGGAGGTATTCTACAGTCCTTGGTACTTATTTCAAGAGGTAGGAAATTTGCAGCAATGAATCCCTACACAAAATGCCTCAACTGCTTAGGACCCCTGGTGGACCTTCCCAGAGCAGGCTGAATTCAGTCTTTCTGTGGATTGTCTTGTTTAATTTCCACCTTCCCTGATGGGTTCCTATGGAGTAGGGACCATTTTTTGTCTTGTTCACAGTTATATCCCAGTGCCTGGCTTAGAACTTGGCATGCAGTGGATTCTCGTCAAATATTTGTTGAAATAAATGAATTAATCCAAGAAACAAATATGGAGCTGTTGTATTTCCTTTGACCTTCAAGTTTAATTTAAAAATCACCTCAAAGTATTAGCACTTCTATAATAAAAATGCTATTTAAAATAATGAAATAGTTAAGAGTGATGTGGATTTTCTTCAGGAAGTGCTAAATATGATTAGAGTCCTTTAATTTGTCCAAACCATAATGGAAATTCTTATTCATGCTTTCTCATATGCGACATTTTTCCCATATATGGTATTCTGTTAATTTGGTTCCATTTTTCTATGTGGGATTTAAATTTTAATCAGTTTTCTAGCAAAGACGGTTGATCTGGCCATGACATATAACTGAGTATATTATAAAGCATGATAATTAAAATAATGTAATATTCAGGATAAGAAATAAATATAAATTAGTGGCACAGACTAGAGATCCCACACATTTTAGAGAAAGATTTATTCAATTTAGGGAGAAAGAAAAGATTGTGCAATAAGTGGGGTTGGGCTAACTTAATTGCATGGGATTCACATCTAATATCATACACCAAAAAAAAAAAAAAAAAAAAAAAAAAGTCCACTGTTAAATAGAAAACAACCAGATCATTGGGAAAAAGTCAGGTTTTCTGACCTGTTAGAGAAATGTTAATTTTTCTCAGCTTTTTAACAATAAAAGCAATTACAACGGTAGCTAATTGAATTCGACATAAACTAGAAACATCTGTATATTGAAAACAGCTGTATTGAGAGAAAAAAAATGTGGGTAAAAGGTCTCCCTCTAGTGTAACTGACAAATGTTAATATCTATTGCATATACAGAGTTAATCCAAATCTGTAAGAAAAATATTACTATCTCAATAGATAAAGAAAACATTTCTAAACAAAAATTCCAAAAAACCCCACAAAAGAGGCAATAAAAGATTTTTACTGTCCTTGAGAGATTTATTATCCCCTTCTAAATTACACATCTCATTGGTGACTCAGATCACTCATATACTGAGTTCTGTCCCGAATCGTTTCAAATAATCCCCAATAACTTTTGATGTTGCAGGAACTCAATACAGCCACTAGAGGGCGCTCGAGCCACGCCCTAGGCTGAAGCCCTGTGTGGGTGGAGGAAGGTTCGAGTGAGGTTTCCAGACTTAAAAAACCGTGCATAACCCGGAGGCACCTGGGGTTCAGGGTCCATCTTGGCTGATTATATCATGTAATCCAATCTTCCTCTACAATCCTGAGGACATCAATGGACCTGGGCAAGTGCTGCAAAAGGCAGGGAGGGCCCTGCGCCTTCAGACCTGATTTGACATAAAGATGCCTCTGACCTTATCAGGAACCATGGCTTGGGTGGGTTTGGGGCACAGACACTCCAGAGGTGGGATTTCTGGGGAGGGCGACCGTGTCTCCAGTTCACCCACCTTTCATCTGTCTTGCAAACATGACCGTTGACTAATCAAATGTTAACTGAACAGAGTGGTTGGGAATAATTAAGGAGACTGCAGTCCTTGACAGGACTCATTATAAGAAAGGGAGTATAAATTCTTTTTAAAAATAAACTCTACTATTTTATTTTTTTAAAGAAAATTTTTTTTTTTTTAAAGTTCCAGTAATTCCTAGCATCCAGACTAAACCAGAGGAACTGGGTGGTGGAAATTCAGAATTGATTTGCAGGAAACCTGGGCATTTTTTGCTCAGGCACCAGAGGAACTAGTGACGGATGTAGGTTTTGTTGAGAATTTGTCTTTCCTGTCTCTACCTGTGCTCCGGGCTGTTGGAGCCACAGCTTGATTTATTGAGCTAAACAAGTCAACAGCTAATTTGTTCATTCAAGGCTGTCCTTTGAGAAGTGGCCTAGTGGATAAAGATGAAGATCATTGGAAAACAAGTCAGTTTCCACGGGCAGGACCTCGCAAAGTAGGTCACCCTGGCTTTCCTCTGGCCTGAGAGAGGCTGGAATCCCATTAACCTCAATCGAGCAGGCTCCGTGAGGAGGGGCAGGGCTGTGTCTGCAAAACAAAACTTGGCTTCGTGGAGGCTTCCTAATTTGACTTCCTAATGAGATTTGGAAGGGGAAAGAGGAACACAGGGTATGAGAATATCAAAGGAAAATAACGTTCCCCTAACAGGCTGGTGGCACTGAGTGGAGAGGGTTTTGGTGTTCGGGAAGTCTGAGTGTTTACCATCAATTAATTCTGTTCCGCTGAGGTCTTAGTATGTCTAAGGGATGGGCGAAGCGTGGGAAGGTATCTCTAAATATTTTTCTCATTATTTCAGAAAGCCTATCCCGTCTTAAAAACCAAGAATAAAAAGAAGACTATTGATTCTTTCATCCCCTTGGAGCTGCGGCTCAGTCTCTTCTTTCAGAGCAAACTTCACAGAAGAGTTGTCTGTACTCACTGACTCCATGACCTCATTTTCTGGTCACATTTCACCCTGCTGCATGCTGTTTACCTCTTCTCCATCACTCAGCAGGAAGGAGTCTCAATAAATTGCCGATGGATCTTCATGTTGGTAAATCCGGTGGGCATTTTGCAGCTCTAACTGTACTTGATTTCTCAGCTGCATTGGACATAGGCTGACCACTCTCTCCTTGAATGAGTTCTTCATTTGGCCTTTCTGATAGCAAGCTTCCTTCCCGAATTTCTTTGCTATCCCTTTTCTATTTCCTTTGCAGGCAAGTGCTCCTCAGCATTAAATGCTGGTGCTCTTCTGGACTCAGTCTGAAGTCCTTGACTTATTCCCAAGCTCTCTCTCATCCATAACCTTGCCATCATCTCCCATTCCTTGTTGGCTCTTAGTGCAGAATTCTCCCCCATAAGCTTCAGAGCTCTATAGTTGCCTGCTTATGTAACAACTCCAACTGGGTATCTTGAAGGCATTTCCGATGTATCCCACACAGAAGTGAACCCATGATCTTTCCCATTGAACTTCATCTGGTGTTCCCTATCTTATGAGAGAACCCACCAACTCATTAATTATGCACTTGACCTTGCCGCCTTTCGCATCCTCCTTATCCAAGCTGTCACCTGCCAGTTTTTACTCCTCCGTGTCTCTCAGGTGCTTGCACCTCTCCATCTCCACCACGACCATCCTAGTCAAAGTCACCCTTAATTCTCCCTGGACCTCTGCAATAGCCTCCTCACTGGTCTCGCCTCATCTACTGTTATCCTTTTCATATTAGAGCCAGAGCGGTGGTGGTGTTTTAATCTAAATCTGATCATGTTGTCATCCTGCTTAAAACCCTTCAACGATTTCCCATTACTCTTAGTGTAAAAATCAAAATCCCGAATGTCACGTGGGTTGGCCCCACACCAAGCTCAGCTCTGATTTTTGGATATAATTGTACCATAACCTGTTAGTATCTTATGCTCTGCTTCCTCCTCAGGACTTTTGTATGTAATGGTCTCTCTAGACTTTCTAGAATATTCTCCCCTTGCTTTGCCCCTTTACCTAGTTAACTCCTATTGATTCCTTAACTCTTAGCTCAGTTCCCATTTCCTCAAAAAAGATTTCTCTGACCTCCTGGCTGGGATGGGGTCCCAACCACACTCTCACGCCAGCTCATGTCTTTATTTCAGAGACACATCACATTTGTCATCATTTGGTTAATGCCTCTCCCTCATTAAACTCTGAGTTCCACGAGAAGATATGCTCTGCTCAGCACTGCGTCCCTAAGAATCTTTCACAGCGCTTTCCTTGGGAGACCCCCGATAAATGTTGGTTGAGGCAATTAAATGTTTCAATCACCCTTGAGAGAACCCAGGGTAAGCGAAAGGTAAGAATCTTTTTTTTTCCCGGAAGTCAGACAATTTGATGCGGTCACACTGCTAATTTCATGCTGATCAGAAGTCCAAGTGGCAGCTACATATTTTGATTGATTAATCAATGGATAATGAATGATTACATAATTGGAAGGGCCTTGTTGTAGAGAAAAGCGTAGGCACTGAAGTCAGCTGGGTACGGTTTGAATTATAGTTCCTGCCCTGAGAGCTGGATGCTGAGGTTGGACCTGCCATCCAACCTCTGAGCCAGAGTCGCATCCTCTGTAAAGTGAGGATTATAATCCCTACGGGGTTTTTCCTGGGGTTAGTATGAGGATTAAGTGGGATAAGGAACATAAGTGCCTACCAGGGTATCTGGCAAACAGTAGGTGCTCAGGGTACAAGGATTCTACTTTCTTCCTTTCCTCTTTCCCTTCCTCCCTCTTCCCTTCCTGAAACACCTTGCTTTGTAGTTTACATCTTTCTAAACCCAGGCTCCTCAAGGAAAATGGAATAGGACTCCTGCGTGGTATAAAAATTGACATCCACAGGCTGTGGCCCAGATGTCCCCCGCCCCTACCTGGTCTTCGGCCCCTGCCTGTTTAAAGAATCAAAGGTGAGGAACTTTCCATATAAAAGTTCTGGGAGCCTGGGAGCCTGGGAGCTGGGAGCAGCTGAGGAGAGAGCCTGAGCAAACAGGATTCACAGTGGATATTTCTCCTGACTGATGTTAATTATGCAAAAGGGGCAGAGGGCCTTTGTGAATTCACATCGGTGTTGTGTTTTGTGTTTTCCGGTGGCACTGGCATGAAAGAAGCAAATGCCCGCCCACCAGGGGAGAGCGGCAGCAGGCCCTGCCTCTACTGCTTTTCGGAGGGAAAGGCGCTTCACGGCCAGGGCAGGTTTCTAGTTGCAGTCAATCCTTGACAAGAGTTTGAATTGTGCAGGTCCACTTAACAGGGTGGGGCAAAAGTAGATTTACTGTTCTTCACATGGAAAATAATGCGATAATAAATACTGATACAAGAATAAACTTAAGTGTTTCACATACTCACAATTGTAAACCTACTTTTGCCCCTCCCTGTACATGGGGAACTTTTTTCAATCAATACATATAGACCTGTAAATGTATTTTTCTCTTCCTGATAACTTTCTTAATAACATTTTCTTTTTTATAGCTTACTCTATTGTAAGAATGCAGAGTATAATACATAAAGCATACAAATGTGTGTTAATCGACTGTTTATGTTTTTGGTACGGCTTCCGGTCAGCAGTAGGCTATTAGTAGTTAAGCTTTGGGGGCGTCAAAAGTTATACATGGATTTCCAGCTGTGCAAGGGGTTGGCACCCCAAATCCCTGCGCTGTTTCAGTGTTCACTTACTCTGTTCTCAGCTTCCTCAGAGGAGGTCCAGAGCAGGGCTTGGACAGCGTAGCAGGCCAGCAAAAGCCTCCACACAGCCAGCCGGGCCGCCCTTGGTCCGCCACCCCCATCCCCTCTTGCTCTCCTCAGGCCTCCACGCAGGCCCTCCATTCCCGCAGACCGGGGCCGCTCCGGGGCAAGGAGCATCCTTCCAGACCCAGCCCTGCGGCATCGCCTGCATGAAGACTCCCTGACCGTGTCCCAACCTTAGGCTGGGTTGCGCCCCTTCTCTGGGTTCCCAGAGCCACTCACATCCTCATCATAACACTTCTCCTTTGGGAGCAAAGAGGGCTACCACAGGGGCAGTATAGTGTGTCTATTCTGAATATATGGTGCCACTTGGACTTGTGCAGAGCAGGCCTGGAGTGGTAGAACTCTGTCTATTGTCTGTCTCCTTCTTGGCTGGGCATCTCGAAGGGTGGGGACTGGGTATAGGACAGGCACATAGTAGGGGACGAACCATTAATTTCCTGAGTGATCAAACAGTGGGTCACCAGGTACCTGGCAACAGCTTCCCTGCCACCAGCTGGTCGTGTGCGAGTGCCCCTCCCTCGGCTCCTGCAGAGCCAACCTGTGGAGTCTTTCTTGTACTGCCCTTCCTACCATTTTGAGTTTGCCTTTTCTCCCGCTAAGCAGTATCTCATACATTCCCCATGTTGTCGCCACCTTCCTCAGCGTTAGTGTTAGTGGATGTAGATGGCGCCGCAGAGGGGCTAGCCAAGCCTTTCTTCATAAGCCTTTTTCGGTGGTTGACTGGGATCTTTGCTCCAGGCCTTGCATGCATAAAGGAGAAATAAAATCAAGGCTTGTTGGAGGAACCGCATGGGATTCAGGGTGTCACAGTGAGGTGCAGAGGGGGGAGCGGCAAGGCATGAGCCCCAAGGAATAGGCGGTGGGGGCTGAAGTGTGTTATGTTCACTGTGTCCTCACAGGGGAGCTGAGGGGTGCAGCCTGGATCCTGGAGATGAAGGGAGGTCGTGGAGGGATTCTAAGGCAGGGAGTCAGATTTGGATTCTTTGACGATCACTCTGATTAACCGTGGATGGAGGATCAGGTCGGGGAGGCCACAGGGTAGGGAAGGATCGAAGTAGCCTAGGTGACGAAAGATGGTGGCTTGAACTAATGGCAGGAGAATGGCCAGGTGAGGAGTGATTTGTGAGATACTAAGAAGGCAGAACCAATGGGACTTACTGATGGGTTCTGCTTTGGATATGATGAGTTCAAGGGCCACGTGAGCCATCCGCAGAGGCGTCCAATAAATTGACGAATGGATTTATCTATCACCTACCTTCATACCTACCTGGGGAAGCGGCACTTTGGGGAGCCATCACGTGCCCCTCTGTACCAATATGCATGGTAGGATGAAATCTCCAAGTGATAGAGGAGACAGAAAAGATGAAGACTGAGAATGGAACCTGGGGCAAACGTGCCTTTCCACGAGGCATATCTGCTTAGGGTGAGTGCACCCGTGAGCGTGGAGAGTGATGGGTCTCACTCAGCTAGTTGTGGCTGAGAGCACAAGTAAATACACACGGGTTAATCTGTGTTCTGAGTTGGATCCTCTGCAGTGTGAGGGCCACCAGGGGGAAACAGAGACCCAGACTGCAGTCCTGAGAAGACGGGGTGCCCGTGACACTGCAGACACGGGCAGTGCCTCTGACCTGTGTGTCCGCTGAAGAGGCGCTGCCGACTGCAGTGAGCTGACCGGCATGCGGTGGCCCTAAGGTGAGCGTCTCCGAGTTCCAGGCTAGGACAGGGCCAGGGAAGAGCCAGGATCGGTTTGTTACTTACACATTGAGAGGCTGCCAGGCTGGCCACTGAGCTTTGGCTTTGATTACGGTGAGGACCTCATCGCTCTGCAAAAAAAGGACCACAGATATTTGGTGAGGAGAGATGGGCACAAGAGGGTTTTGACATGGTCACACCGTCGGCTCCCACTCACTTACCTGCTATTGAGGCTCTGCCTGCCCAGGTGTGGGAGCCATGCGGCCCGAGGGTGGGGAAGCCCTGGGGCCTCGGCAATCCCAGGAGGCGGGGCTGAGCGTCCCGCGTGCCTGGTGCGTGCTGGATACCAGAGGGTCCATCGAGACACACCGCTGGTTTCCAGCTCAGCCTGTCCCTTCCCTGCTGGAGTCGGGCTCTGACCTGGACTCTGCCTTGGATGGCCAGACTTCCATACGTGTCTAACCCAGAGGGAAGATTGAGTGTTCTGGGTCCAAGCCCGGACTGGGGCCTGCTCCAGGCCACGCCATAGCAGGAGCCAACAACTGGCCCCCATGTTCTCACCCTGGAGGCCTCCCCTGCTGTTGGGACTCAAGCACCAGGTCAGACTCCTTCAGACGAGGGGCCAGAACAAAGCCGGGGCCCCATGGTGTGGGGACCTAAAATAATTTTCTGAGGAAGAATGTGACAAGTAACACTTTGCGGGAAAGTATTAAGTCATCATCGTGGAGAAAAAAAAATCAGAACTTTGCTGATCTTGTTAAGTAAGAGGTTTGTTTGGGTTCTTATTTTCAATTACACACTGGGAGTGAGGGAGTATCATACGCTATCTCCCTTCCATCTGGCCTGGGCTCTACAGTGTTCAGACACCATTGTCCATTATGCATAGAAATGCCCAGAATGTCACCAGCTGGGGAAGGAAGAGCTTTGTTGCTGACTAGACATGTCCCTAAGTTCCAGGAGTACAAGGACATGTTTGGGTGGCACCCAGCTCTGCCCTAGTTCTTAGAGCTGTGCCTGGCTGTGGGTGCCTAGAACATTGTATTTGGAATGAACTGGAATGAATTGAATCCTTCCACAGTCTCCTTGCTGGTCTCTTAGGTGGGTACCTTACCCAGAAAATCCCACAGCCTTGAGGAGACCAGATGGAAGGAGGTCAGAAGTGTCTCCAGGGTCAGGCAAAAGATTATCAGAGACCTGCTAGTCTGGAGCACCTTGTTGGTGGATGGAAGGCCTTTAAGAGGAAGAGAGATCCGGCTTGGCCTGGGGATCACAGATAGTCCTGGTGGGGTGAAGGGCAGAAGTGTGGCCCACAGGGACAAGCCTCAGAGTCCCCTCACCCCACTCCACCCCCCAGAAACTTGCAGCCTCTTCCGGAGCTCAGGCTTCCCTCTTTAAAAAAATTAAAAAAAAAATTTATTGATTTGAGAGAGAGAGAGAGAAACATTGATTTGTTGTTCTACCCACACAGGCATTCATTGGTTGACTCTGGCATGAGCCCTGACCAGGGATTGAACCCGCAACCCTGGTGCATTGGGACGGTGCTCTAACCAATTGAGCCACCTGGCCAGGGCCCAGGATTCCCACTTTTAATCAGAAGAAAGACTCTTTGGATGCATAAACACCCCACATTCCCCTGTCTTCAGGGAGAGCATTTCTAAGTCCTAACTGAGAGGTTTATACTTCTCATGAGAGACATTTTTGTTTGTTGAGAATGTCTCCCTGATTCATTTCTTATAAATACCTATTGAATAACTGAAAGAAACTGCTTATCACGAAGTCCCATGTGAGACCTGACCCGTCTCCTGAATGCCAGCGCTGGGTCTCCTGAGGCCTGGGTTGCCTGCAGTCATCTCATGTATTCCATGCCCCACAGTGAGCTCTTCATCTGACCCCAGAACCCCTCCTCCTTTTGCAGCCCATGTGGGTAAAGACACATCCACCTGCTGCCTGAACTAGACACCAGGCGTCACCAGCATTACTCCACCGCACGCCCCTTCACAGCGAGCGCGCCCCAGCCTCCGGTGTGTTCACAGCCTTAACGTCTCTTGAGTCTTTCCACAGTCTCCTCGCTGGTCTCTTCACGTCCTGCACCTTCTTGCTTTCCCCCACTGCACCCTCCACGTTGCTGCAGATCTGACCTCGCCGTTCCTTGCCTAAACCCTTCAGCAGCTCCCTACAACTTCCATGATCATGTTTAAATTCCTGGTATACTTGGTTTTTAATTCCAGAATAATCCACATTCATTGTAGACAAATTTAGCATCACAGAAGTGCACAATGTAAATGTTGAGCACTTTCCACTTTGGCAGGCGTCCTGCCTTCTGCCTCCTTCTCCAGGATGTTGCAGTTTGGGGTGTGTTGTTCCAGGCCTTCGGCTACGCATATGCAACTCTGTGTGTGTGCGCCCGTTGGACACAGCTCCTTATACTGTGGGCCTTATCCATGGTTTTTCCATTTTTCCTTTATATTACATTATGAGAAACTTCCCATGTCAATGGATACAGCATCATAGCTCCATTTTTGTTGATTTTTAAAGAATTGAACGTCTTCAAATTATGGTTAAGCCTGGTCAAGACTAATAAAAAAGAAATCCAAGAAATGAGATACTGCCAGATGATGATTGTTTGGCCCTAGAAGAAATGCTTTACTGAAAAGAAAAAAAACCCAGCGTGGGTGGAGTTACAGTAGACGCCAAGTTAGCAGGCCCTGCAGAGTCACCCTGCACGGCAATTAAATCTTGGTGTTTGGGTCCCAAGTAATGACATATTGATTTTGCTTTTGCAGAATAACTCGACAAAAATTGTTTGGACCCTTCATTGGTGTTTATTTATGGTGACGTAATCCTGTCTGTAGTTTTCAGAGCTATGGAGGCTCCCAGGATGGTGCGTCCACGCGTCTGGGCATTAGAACAGCTTGCTGCTGTAATTTGTTTCATCTAGTGGTTCCACACCATCTGCAGGATCAACTGCTTATTGTCCCTCATTTGTGATCATTTGTGTTATCCAGTGAAATAAGAAAGCAGGAGCATTCTGGAAGACTGTTTTTAAAGCTAAATCATTTTGTTACCACATCAAAATTCTCTGGGAGAACCTGAGTCCTACGGGATTGGAGAGTGTCCGGCTCATTTATGGCCATATCTAAATGCCATGATAGAGGATTAGTAAATTTCTGAAAAGCAAAGCGACATCATTCTTTTTGATATATGAGTACGTGTAGAATTCCATAGCATGGATGTTCTCTAATTTTTTAAAAGATTTCATTTATTTTTTTATTTTTAAAGGGAGGGGAAAGGAAGGAGAAAGAGAGGGAGAGAAACATCAATGTACAAGAAGTTGCCTTTCGCACGCCCCCAACTGGGGACCTGAACAGCAACCCAGGCAGGTTAGATTCCTGACTGGGAATCTAACCGGTGACCCTTTGGTTCACAGGCCACCACTCAATCCATTGAGCCACACCAGCCAGGGCTGTTCTCTAATTATTTTAAAGGGTGGATATTTAATTGTTGCCACAAATGATGCTATGATGAACATATATGTATGCATTTCTTTGTTTACAAACCCAAGGGTTCCTGAGTCATAGCTTCCCAGGAAGGATTAAAAGATAAAGCAGACTGAAACTTTTGGCAGAGCCTACTGATTCTTCCTCCAAATGTCTGCACCAATTTATACTCCAGCAAGAATGTATATGTGCCTGCCCATATCTTCACAACTTTGGACACAGCAGATACTATCATTCTCTTCAGTATTTACTAACCCAGCAGGCAGGAATGCGGTTTGGTTGAGAGCCCAAGCTCTGGAGTCATACCTGAGTTTAAATCCTGATTTCACCATTTACTAGTTCTCTGTCCTTTTGGCAAATGTCTTAACCTCTCTTAGGCTTCTCATGTGTGAAATGGGATTAAAAAGAGTACCGCCTTGGGTTGTTAGGGGGAATAAATGACATAATTCATGTAATGTGCTAATACAGTGCCTATATTAGCATAAATATTAGTGACTATCGCCCTGGTTGGGTGGCTGGGTTGGTTGGAGCATTGTCCCATACACCGAAAGGTTGCAGGTTTGATTCCTGGTCAGGGCACATACCTAGGCTGTGAGTTTGATCCCTGGTTAGGGGCCATATGGGAGACAGCCAACTGGTGTTTGTAACATTGACGTTTCTCTCCCTTTCTTTCTTTCTCTCTCTCTCTCAAATCAGTAAAACAACAACAACAAAAACCCAAAACAAACAAACAAACAAACAAAAAACAAACACACAAACCTCAGGCAAGGATTTAAAAAGTATATATTAGCTACTATTCTTATTCTTACATTCAGGCCAAACTGGTATTAAAATCAATTTGCAGGGCTTGAGAACAGAAAGCGGAGCACACCGTTGCATCAATGAACTAACAAAGCTTCAGGAGAACTGAGAAACTCAGGGAGCAAGTGACAGGAAGTTTATGTGACTTGGTGAGCCGTGACTGGGGTCACGGGGGCACTAGGCATTTCACATTTTGAAGAATGGCGGACTTACGGTCAGAGTAAGCAATCCAAACTTCAGACTTAGGGAAAAGCCATCTTAACAAGCCTCTAAGGCACAGAAAGGATCTCTTGACAATCCTTCGAGCCCTTACACATCTCCCATAGGACCCTTTGGAAAGTGTTTCAGGACATTCACAGTTCATGCCTTGTTTGGATGACATTAGCAATTTTGAGAGACATGCCAATTAAAGTTTAAAACCCCCAAAGCTACAGGTCACTTGTGTCCATCTGCACGGAGATGAGTTCTTTCATTTCGCTTTTGATAAACAGGCTGAGGAGATGTGAGGCTGTATTCAGACTTCATAGTTACTAGTATCAAGTGGGAATCACACAGCCCCAAACAGGTCCGGGGCTGAGGTCAGATTTAGAGGAACGAAGGTTTGTGTGGAGTGAAAACAGGCCGGGACTGGTTGGAGGCAGAACTCACATTGACATCATGAGATGCCAAGTCTGAGCAGAGCAGAGTGAGAGACTGTGAGTCTGAGGGGGTTGGGGCAGGGGCTGGTGTCTGAACCAAGCTTACCCGGCACTGACTCTCCCGAGCCCTCCGAGCCACACCCAGCGCGGGAGAGCTCTGGGCGTTTCAGCCAGGCCCACAGCAAGAGGCCAAAG